GTACCTACATTTTAAAGGAAAAAAAAGAGAGAGAGTATCCATCACACTTCATATAAATACATCGGTAGGTACATGTATAATATTGTATATGTTATGCGATTACTGGTTTCATTCGACATTGAAAGACAGAATTAAATTATTAATATATTTAAAAATTAAAAATTATTATAGTTACCCATAGAATCTAAAAAGTACGACGAGGTTGCTATAGTCATGTAATTATTACAAAAAAATACAACAATATTTTACTCTGTCGACCAAACACGACGACGAAATGATAACGCTCTTGGTGTCGCACAAATTTATAGAATGACCTCAGCTATATGACATATATATGCATGTTAAAATCTTGATTATATTGCGAATTTGCGAGTAGACAATGACCGTATAGTTTTCTCAGCAGCTTCTGCCACGCCGCACGATTCTCAATCAAACCGTTTTCGCGAGTGTTGTAGCAGTCAGGCGCGTAGCCCTCTTTCAAAAGGGGGTATTTTAGTTAATAGAGCTGTCACACATATAATATATTTTTGGATTATATGGCCGAAGAGTGATGATCCGATACCCRAAATACTTTTGGTACACCACTGACCACTGGTGGTAGTAATACTATGTTATATACATATAGTAATTTAACACTAATTTATTGTTCTTTTAACCATCATGCTTGTCAGGATGATGCGTCTTTTGAAATATGATTTGAATAACTGTACTGTATTATTTACACATGTTATATCTAATATTGAGTTTACCGTTTACCCGTATTTGATAGTAAATAAATAACATATATACATGGGTACCAAATATTCGTAGTAAAGRGAGGCCATGAGGTAGGACGAWTATACTGTAGTGTGCAGGAACTTTATAACTTAATAGTGATTTTTATAGTAATATAGTGTTACATTTTTGTAACTAACATTTTATTTTATTTTTGTGGGAACAATTTATCATTTACTTCGAGTTAAGCACTGATAATGCAATTTTGAACAGCAACATATCATGATTTTCTCAAGACTGTGTTCTAATTTTATTGTTTTTTGTTTAATTTGTTTTTCTGATTTTATCATAGTATAAAACA